CATGTGTTACTGAATTCGGTGTCCTTACAACAACCAATACAATGTACAAAGAGTTCAGTTACCACTGGACATCATGTCAAGGTCGCTTTTGGCTTCCTGTGGCCATTTCGCTGATCTGTGTCACAACTCTTCTGATTGTGTGTGCCCTGTTGGTGTCACGGAACTGGACGAGAATTGCTCATCATATTTTGGTCTTCATGGGTCGAGGAATCCAGCGAGTCAACAGACAAGACTTCAACAAAGATGCATACATTGCCCACTCGGATCAAGAGCTTCAGTTTGTGATGCAAGATCTACGCATAGGCCTGGAGGAAATACTCGGATTGAAACTTATTCTACCCGACAGAGATTTCCTGCCTGGTCCGTTCGTAGCTGACCATGTTGTAGAAAGCATTAACAGGAGCTGGAAGACGGTGCTGGTTGTATCCGACGATTTCTTAGATGACCCCTGGTCCTACTTCATCATTAAGTCCACAACCTACTACATATCCAACCTGAACCCCAACAGGGTGATCCTGCTGCTGGTAGGGGACGTAAACCATGGTCGGCTACCGGAACTGCTCCTGAATGTAACAGATGAAGAGGATATCATCCAACTAGACGATTTCCCCGATCCCCACAGTGATGTATGGGTTCGTGTTAGGGACAGAATTCTCACTCCAGCAGCTTAGCGTGCATATAACACATGTCATTGACTGAACCCTTGTATATGTAGTGTAACACATCTGATTCTATATCAGTTAACTGTGCATGTAAACATTGTCATTGACTGAACCCTTGTATATATAGTGAACGCCACTGCTTCTATGATATCATTTAAGCGTGCATATAAAACATGTCATTGACTGAACCCTTGTATATATAGTGAACGCCACTGCTTCTATGATATCATTTAAGCGTGCATATAAAACATGTCATTGACTGAACCCTTGTATATATAGTGAACGCCACTGCTTCTATGATATCAGTTAAGTGTGCATACAAAACATTGTCCCCTTGTATATATAGTGTAACACCTCTGCTTCTATGATATCAGTTAAGTGTGCATACAAAACATTGTCCCCTTGTATATATAGTGTAACACCTCTGCTGCTTATATAATATCAGTAAACCTCTGCTTCTATAATATCAGTTGTGCATAAAACACATGTCCCCTCTTGTATATATAGTGTAACACCTCTGCTTCTATAATATCAGTTAAGTGTGCATACAAAACATTGTCCCCTTGTATATATAGTGTAACACCTCTGCTTCTATGATATCAGTTAAGTGTGCATACAAAACATTGTCCCCTTGTATATATAGTGTAACACCTCTGCTTCTATAATATCAGTTAAGTGTGCATACAAAACATTGTCCCCTTGTATATATAGTGTAACACCTCTGCTTCTATGATATCAGTTAAGTGTGCATACAAAACATTGTCCCCTTGTATATATAGTGTAACACCTCTGCTTCTATAATATCAGTTAAGTGTGCATACAAAACATTGTAACCCCTTGCTTCTATATATATAGTGTAACACCTCTGCTTCTATAATATCAGTTAAGTGTGCATACAAAACATTGTCCCCTTGTATATATAGTGTAACACCTCTGCTTCTATAATATCAGTTAAGTGTGCATACAAAACATTGTCCCCTTGTATATATAGTGTAACACCTCTGCTTCTATAATATCAGTTAAGTGTGCATACAAAACATTGTCCCCTTGTATATATAGTGTAACACCTCTGCTTCTATAATATCAGTTAAGTGTGCATACAAAACATTGTCCCCTTTGTATATATAGTGTAACACCTCTGCTTCTATAATATCAGTTAAGTGTGCATACAAAACATTGTCCCCTTGTATATATAGTGTAACACCTCTTCTATGATTCTATAACATTGTCTTGTATATATAGTGTAACACCTCTGCTTCTATAATATCAGTTAAGTGTGCATACAAAACATTGTCCCCTTGTATATATAGTGTAACACCTCTGCTTCTATAATATCAGTTAAGTGTGCATACAAAACATTGTCCCCTTGTATATATAGTGTAACACCTCTGCTTCTATAATATCAGTTAAGTGTGCATACAAAACATTGTCCCCTTGTATATATAGTGTAACACCTCTGCTTCTATAATATCAGTTAAGTGTGCATACAAAACATTGTCCCCTTTATATATAGTATAGTGTAACACCTCTGCTTCTATGATATCAGTTAAGTGTGCATACAAAACATTGTCCCCTTGTATATATAGTGTAACACCTCTGCTTCTATAATATCAGTTAAGTGTGCATACAAAACATTGTCCCCTTGTATATATAGTGTAACACCTCTGCTTCTATAATATCAGTTAAGTGTGCATATATAGAACATGTGAATCTGGTCATGTCATTCTATCGATCTCGTCATGTCATTCAATCGATCTCGTCTTGTCATTCTATCGATCTCGTCATGTCGGTTTTAGTCTAATCATGTATCTCATCACTTGATATGGGCTTAATTGAAAAAAAGCTAATAAAATCAGATTTAGAGTTCAGTCTTAATATTTTGCTTTACCGACATAGTGGACTGTGTAGTCTATTGAGAATGGACATTATTTTCAGTCTTACCACTTGTAGTACAAGAATATGCATACTTCGCTGCGTATAGGTGCCAGGTTGCTGGTGTGGCGTAAGGCAGCAATTACCCAGTCACTGTATATAAGGTATTGCCGATATCGACTCACTCATTATAAACAGAAAGTTCGGGTTAGGATTGATCTTCCGTTACCCATGCTTGTCGTAAAAAGCGACTAACGGAATCGGGTGGTCAGGCTCGCTGACTTGATTGACACATGACATCGGTTCCCAATTGCGTAGATCGGTGTTACAGGCCGCCGCCATATAGCTGGAATATTGCTGAGTGCGGCGTAAAACTAAAATCACTCACTCACTCTATTTAAATTGTAAACACAAAGAAGAGATTTGTCTATCCTTGACAACGCGGGGTGTTACCTTCTGTTTTGTGTACCACTGCCACTATAGCTTCGTTGTTCGTATGACGACCAGCGTTCCCTCGTCACGTCGCAGACCCGGGTTCGATTCCCCACATGCATACAATGTGTGAAGCCCATTTCTGGTGTCCCCCGTTGTGATATTGCTGGAATATTGCTAAACGCGGCGTAAAACTAAACTCACTCACTCACCAATTTAACACGCAGAAACATTTTGTGTTAATACGTGTCTTTTCCCTGACTTGCAACAAGGAAAGGTAATTCTAAATTAGCGTCACTGACTACAGTAGTTGGACCGAGAGAGGCGTCCATAAAATATTGCCACTGAAAGAGACCATTTCTGTGTTATGTGAGAGGGTAACGAGTGTGGTGGTCTAGTCATAGCCCAAATGATGCTACAGTGACACTTTCTTTCATATACTAATATAATTTAAACAACGGATACTCGAGAGTGATACAATTAATATAATCTAAAACATATGATGATCGAGGGTGATATAATTAATATAATCTAAAACAGCTGATAATAGATGGTGACATAATTAATATAATCATAAACAGCTGATACTCGAGAGTGTTAAAATCAATATAATCATAAACAACTGATACTCGAGAGTGTTAAAATCAATATAATCATAAACAACTGATACTCGAGAGTGTTAAAATCAGTATAATCTTAAACAGATCTCTATAGCTTAAATCAGAAGAGCCTTCTCTAGGCGCGAAGCTCAAGATTGTTTATTCGACTGTGAGTGAGTTTATTTTTATACCTATTCCGGTAATCTCCCAATAGTACCAAGGCCGGCTACCAAACCGACGAAAACAATATCTACGGTTTTGATAAAACACGATCGAAAACAACAGACAAACTGTCCTCAAACACTTCCTGATATTTTATTTCTTAAAACTTAAGCGATTAACTATATATGTTTATCGCCAAAGACATTTGAAACAGGCGATGCCATGATTATCGTCATACTTCGCTTTCGGCAAGTTTGGCCTGTTCAAACAGTGTCCTCAACAAACGGCAGGGACTCGGGTCTCTTAGGAAATTTGCTTCAGTTTGGATGATGTCTGAAAACGAAATATAATGCTGTTAAGTTCTTAAGTTGCAAACAATAGAGATAAGAATCGCAAACAACACAGATACTGTCGCAAATAACAGCTCATCGGGAAAATGATATTTGCGTCAGTAAATGTGTATGTCAAACCATATCCGAAGAAGGGTCCGTTAGGGTGGCCTAGTGGTTAAAGCTGACTTAGGTTCGATTCCCCACGTAGGTACACTGGAGCTGAGGCATAATGTCCACTATATCACAGGAAGCATGAAGGTTGTTTTATAGTCAGGTGCTCGTATGAGCTAAGTTGACAGTGAGCCATCGCCAAGCCAGTGATCATAGCAGTGGTTGGTTGGTTGTAGTTTTACGCCGCACTCCGAAATGTTCCAGCTAGATGGCAGTGGTCTGTAAATAATCCAGTCTGGACCAGAAAATCCAGTGATCAACAGCATGAGCATCGACCTACGCAAATGGGATTTTGATGACATGTGCAAGTCAGCGAGTCTGACCACCTGATCCCGTTAGTCGCCTCTTACGACAAGCATAGGTTGCTGAAAATCAATTCTAATTGGGGTACTGTCAGTTGAAATCTAAAATCTAAACAGAAATTACAGGCTGGTTTGTTTAGTCCAGACTCGACTATTTAGCCGGTCGTCATGCAGATGGAAGGTTGCTGTGTGCTGCCTCAAACAACATAGATACGATAATTTCACACTGTATGCAATGTTCACAGATTATGAACGGGAATTCTACTCTCAAGTAGCTTCTCACTGTATACTCGGAGTGCGCCGAGGGCTACAAGCACTGGACTACTGGCCACCTGTCATCCCCGAGGATGTATTACCAGCACAATACGTATGTTCCGATTCATAAACAGTAAATACACTTTACTACAGTGAAAATGTCCTGAACACCCTGAAGACCTCGTTTTGGCTTTAGGAACTGCCCTGTCCATGCATCTTGTGTCGGTGTAGTGACCTTCACTTCCGATGTGTGGACTTTACTTTGGCGGAGACCAATTTTCTTCTTCCACGATGTCATCACCTACATGATTACAAGAGTGAGTGAGTGAGGAGGAGGAGGAGTGAGGAGTGAGAGGAGGAGTGAGGAGTGAGGAGGAGGAGAGGAGGAGTGGAGGAGTGAGGAGGAGGGAGGAGCGGAGAGCGAGCGTGCGTGCGTGCGTGCGTGCGTGCGTGCGTGCGTGAAGCGTGGTGCGTGCGGAGAGGAGCGAGGAGGGGGGAGGGAGGGAGGAGGAGCGAGCGAGTTCCCCACTCAAGAACATGAAAGTGGATCACCTCATCGCCAACTATCCGAACCATGGATGGGTGGGACATTGTATTTGAGACTAAGAACGGACTCTCTCAGAGGGAGAGGATGGGGAGGGGTTTCGCAAACACCCACGCAGAGAGGACACGGAGGACACAAACTCACGTCTTCATTGAGTAAGCAGTGGAAGATGAGAACCAGCATCCCCTGTAACAAACAACGGAAACAGGTCAGGTCACCACGCAAAAGTCAGTGTCCAAGGATAACCAGCAGGATGGTCCGGCTATCAGCTGTTAAGTAGGCAAATAACATTAAAGATAAGATACCTGTAAATATGACACCTTCTCTTTTCTGTTACGATCCAGTGTTTTGGTATGTGGATTTATAGCGAACGTCGAATTAATAGAAGTTATCCAGAAAGTGTATCCTGCTTACTGATCTGGCGTTTAGCGTTGGTCGTTTAGCTTTTATACTTTGACCAGGATAGCCTGCAAGGGCCCATTCCACTAAACGTTCGTAGGAGTACGCCGTTCGTAAGCTTCAGTGATATAGTATAGTGAGGGAGTGAATGAATTTGGTTTTACGCCGCTTTTAGCAATATTCCAGCAATATCACGGCTGGGGACACCAGAAATGGGCTTAACACATTGTACCCATGTGGGGAATCGAACTCCGCGTCTTCGGCGTGACCAGCGAACGCCTTAACCACTAGGCTACCTAACCGCCCCTGATATAGTATAGAGTTACGATAGCTCGTAAAGTTACGACTGCTTTGTGGATCGGGACCCAGGTCCATTAGTCCATTTACACCATCACGGAAAACAAACAAACATAGAAGCAGACAACAGACTAAGGCAGGAAACCTAATTATATCATACCATCAGGGCCGTCATGTCAGCTTGATCAAGACTGTAAGACAACAGCCAGTAGGTATCCAGTCTGGAACCATACAAACCAGTGATTGATATTGTGAGCAAAGTCCTCACAGCCAAGGGACTGATAATATGCAATCCACCAGTTACCAGAGTCGTTACGCGTCGCCCTTTAAGATGGGGTAGTTTGGTTTGGATCATCATGAAGAACCGGGTGAATTGTTGGTCTTAACATGCGCCATGGGTGAGGCGCGTTCACTTGGTTCTATGTACTTTACGTAGATTCATCTTGCTCATGATATCTATCACCTGATAGTGCGGATCGCGTCTCAGTTACACACCGACCGCCGTCAACATAGAGGGAATGTTGTTTAGCGGGGCAGTATATAAATAGTACATTGAAGCTGTTGGGGAAATCCCGGGTACCTGCAGTCCGTTCAGCAGGGAGAAGATGTACTGGAACAGCGACAGGAGCTGTTCACGGCAAACACCCCCACAATCCATGTCGGCCCCAACACTGGAGGATGATCACGCGGCCGGATGTTGCACCTGCAGACAGGTGAGCGATCATTGAGGGACAGGTGAGTATGGCTAATGCCCTGGAAGCCCGCCGTCATTCACGCAGCCTCGCCATCCTCCTTTTGAGCGCCCGTGATGGATGAACCGGCCAGCGCGTTAGCGCCCCTAACGCCAGAGAGGTGTAAGGCTCCGCTGTAGTCATACCCATTCGTCTGTAATCACACTGCCGGAAGCCATACTTAGCAGACCGCCATGCTTATATCATATCTGTTTAGCCAAGATTTTCTTTTTTATTACAGAGATTAGCTACACTCCCCAATATTATCCAGCCTCGGCACGCCTTTCAATATCCATGTAACATTGTCCAACCGGAAAATAACATAAAAAGAATGTCATATATTTAACGTCCAAACGTCAACCGCCTCTATAGGAATAGTGGCAAGATCGCTTATTTACTTATCTTTGATTTGTCTGTCTTCTTTCTGCCGGTCTTGACCTTGTTGGAATCCTAAACATCACGAGCAATAAGCGCTAAGGATGCTGACCCTCGGCGTCAAAACATCACTTGTGACACAACGCTGGTTTCCGAGTGGCAAACGTGGATCAGAATATGGGTCCGCATCAGAAACACATGACAGTAAAACACTTAAAAACTGAAACGGCATTAAAGAAATTAAATAAACAGCATCTGGAGATACCGGTTGAGTGAGATCAAGCTTATATCCATAATATATTTGCATTATATCACGATCTCCTCTCAGGACAACGCAGGACGCCGTCCATCGGCACCATATCACGCCAACCTGAGCCACTGAATCTGATTAGTCGAGATACTGTTTGATACATGAGATATCGATCATTGAACCAATCCATCCCTTTGATATCGGTACAACACTTGTATCGCAATTTTAAGTTTGTTCATCATTGTGACGTCACCAAGCCATGACGTCGCTCCAGGCATTATCATCCTCTGACACAGAATGCAGTTCAGCCTTCAGGAACTGCACCTATTCCATATTCCAGCTGACAAGAGGAACGATGCAACAATCTCGCCTAATGTGAAACAATAATAATCGTTGTCAGAGATGATAGCATACACCCAGTATATCCCGCTGTTCCAAAATATACAGGTTACTTTCTGATATCTCAGATATATACTAAACAGAAAAGAAATGTCACCTTTCAAACAAAATGCAACTTTCTGTATTCTTGCAAGGTGGCGTGTTTTTATACTGTACTCGTCGTGTTAACATGTCAATCTAAATTTCACAGTTATTACTAAATATCAGCTCTGTTTTCTGATGCAAAACATATTCCACCTAACGCAATTCCAAATAGGTAGACGGTAAAAGCTCCGCATGATATTCGCGAAAAATGAAATGCATGCACATTGTGACAACCCATAATGAACGCGAGTCCCAAAACCTGCCTGCAGTCAATTAGCATTCGATACAATGTTCATGGTATCGACTTCATGACTTAGAGGAAACCAGGCCTCGACGACAGCAAGTTACCGACTGTACGGTGCGCTCAATCGTTTTAACTGCTCATGTTAGATAACCCACCGACTTGCGAGCGCGGCATCAGTCACTAACAGCATCCAAGATCGTCCATACGCAGTGGACAACCTTTCAGTAACATCATAACGCGTAGACCGATAGACCGCGCACCATTCATCTGCCTACCAGAGCGCAATTGCGTAGATCGGTGTTACAGGCCGCCGCCATATAGCTGGAATATTGCTGAGTGCGGCGTAAAACTAAAATCACTCACTCACTCTATTTACATTGTAAACACAAAGAAGAGATTTGTCTATCCTCGACAACGCGGGGTGTTACCTTCTGTTTTCTGTACCACTGCCACTATAGCTTCGTTGTTCGTATGACGACCAGCGTTCCCTCGTCACGTCGCAGACCCGGGTTCGATTCCCCACATGCATACAATGTGTGAAGCCCATTTCTGGTGTCCCCCGTTGTGATATTGCTGGAATACTGCTAAACGCGGCGTAAAACTAAACTCACTCACTCACCAATTTAACACGCAGAAACATTTTGTGTTAATACGTGTCTTTTCCCTGACTTGCAACAAGGAAAGGTAATTCTAAATTAGCGTCACTGACTACAGTAGTTGGACCGAGAGAGGCGTCCATAAAATATTGCCACTGAAAGAGACCATTTCTGTGTTATGTGAGAGGGTAACGAGTGTGGTGGTCTAGTCATAGCCCAAATGATGCTACAGTGACACTTTCTTTCACATACTAATATAATTTAAACAACGGATACTCGAGAGTGATACAATTAATATAATCTAAAACAGCTGATAATAGATGGTGACATAATTAATATAATCATAAACAACTGATACTCGAGAGTGTTAAAATCAATATAATCATAAACAACTGATACTCGAGAGTGTTAAAATCAATATAATCATAAACAACTGATACTCGAGAGTGTTAAAATCAGTATAATCTTAAACAGATCTCTATAGCTTAAATCAGAAGAGCCTACTCTAGATGCGAAGCTCAAGATTGTTTATTCGACTGTGAGTGAGTTTATTTTTATACCTATTCCGGTAATCTCCCAATAGTACCAAGGCCGACTACCAAACCGACGAAAACAATATCTACGGTTTTGATAAAACACGATCGAAAACAACAGACAAACTGTCCTCAAATACTTCATGATATTTTATTTCTTAAAACTTTAGCAATTAACTATATATGTTTATCGCCAAAGACATTTGAAACAGGCGATGCCATGATTCTCGTCATACTTCGCTTTGGGCAAGTTTGGCCTGTTCAAACAGTGTCTTCCTCAACAAACGGCAGGGACACGGGTCTCTTAGGAAATTTGCTTCAGTTTGGATGTTGTCTGAAAACGAAATATAATGCTGTTAAGTTCTTAAGTTGCAAACAATAGAGATAAGAATCGCAAACAACACAGATACTGTCGCAAATAACAGCTAATCGGGAAAATGATATTTGCGTCAGTAAATGTGTATGTCAAACCATATCCGAAGAAGGGTCCGTTAGGGTGGCCTAGTGGTTAAAGCTGACTTAGGTTCGATTCCCCACGTAGGTACACTGGAGCTGAGGCATAATGTCCACTATATCACAGGAAACATGAAGGTTGTTTTATAGTCAGGTGCTCGTATGAGCTAAGTTGACAGTGAGCCATCGCCAAGCCAGGGATCATAGCAGTGGTTGGTTGGTTGTAGTTTTACGCCGCACTCCGAAATGTTCCAGCTAGATGGCAGTGGTCTGTAAATAATCCAGTCTGGACCAGACAATCCAGTGATCAACAGCATGAGCATCGACCTACGCAAATGGGATTTTGATGACATGTGCAAGTCAGCGAGTCTGACCACCTGATCCCATTAGTCGCCTCTTACGACAAGCATGGGTTGCTGAAAATCAATTCTTATTTGGGTACTGTCAGTTGAAATCTAAAATCTAAACAGACATTACACGCTGGTTTGTTTAGTCCAGACTCGACTATTTAGCCGGTCGTCATGCAGATGGAAGGTTGCTGTGTGCTGCCTCAAACAACATAGAGACGATAATTTCACACTGTATGCAATGTTCACAGATTATGAACTGGAATTTACTCTCACAAGTAGCTTCTCACTGTATACTCGGAGTGCGCCGTGGGCAACAAGCGCTGGACTACTGGCCACTCGTCATCCCCGAGGTGTATTACCAGCACAATACGTATGTTCCGATTCATAAACAGTAAATACACTTACTACAGTGAAAATGTCCTGAACACTCCGAAGACCTCGTTTTGGCTTTAGGAACTGCCCCGTCCATGCATCTTGTGTCGGTGTAGTGACCTTCACTTCCGATGTGTGGACTTTACTTTGGCGGAGACCAATTTTCTTCTTCCACGATGTCATCACCTACATGATTACAAGAGTGAGTGAGTGAGTGAGAGTGAGTGAGTGAGTGAGTGAGTGAGGGAGTGAGGGAGTGAGGGAGTGAGGGAAGGAGCGAGCGAGTTCCCCACTCAAGAACATGAAAGTGGATCACCTCATCGCCAACATATCCGAACCATGGACCAATATTGTTTGGGTGGGACATTGTATTTGAGACTAAGAACGGACTCTCTCAGAGGGAGAGGATGGGGAGGGGTTTCGCAAACACCCACGCAGAGACGACACATAGTACACAAACTCACGTCTTCATTGAGTAAGCAGTGGAAGATGAGAACCAGCATCCCCTGTAACAAACAACGGAAACAGGTCAGGTCACCACGCAAAAGTCAGTGTCCAAGGATAACCAGCAGGATGGTCCGGCTATCAGCTGTTAAGTAGGCAAATAACATTAAAGATAAGATACCTGTAAATATGACACCTTCTCTTTTCTGTTACGATCCAGTGTTTTGGTATGTGGATTTATAGCGAACGTCGAATTAATAGAAGTTATCCAGAAAGTGTATCCTGCTTACTGATCTGGCGTTTAGCGTTGGTCGTTTAGCTTTTATACTTTGACCAGGATAGCCTGCAAGGGCCCAATCCACTAAACGTTCGTAGGAGTACGCCGTTCGTAAGCCAGTGATATAGTATAGTGAGGGAGTGAATGAATTTGGTTTTACGCCGCTTTTAGCAATATTCCAGCAATATCACGGCTGGGGACACCAGAAATGGGCTTAACACATTGTACCCATGTGGGGAATCGAACCCACGTCTTCGGCGTGACCAGCGAACGCCTTAACCACTAGGCTACCTAACCGCCCCGATATAGTATAGAGTTACGATAGCTCGTAAAGTTACGACTGCTTTGTGGATCGGGACCCAGGTCCATTAGTCCATTTACACCATCACGGAAAACAAACAAACATAGAAGCAGACAACAGAGGGGGGTAATTCAATTATATTATACCATCAGGGCCGTCATGTCAGCTTGATCAAGACTGTAAGACAACAGCCAGTAGGTATCCAGTCTGAACCATACAAACCAGTGATTGATATTGTGAGCAAAGTCCACACAGCCAAGGGACTGAGTATATGCAATCCACCAGTTACCAGAGTCGTTATGTCGCCCTTTAAGATGGGGTAGTTTGGTTTGGATCATCATGAAGAACCGGGTGTGAATTGCTGGTCTTAACATGCGCCATGGGTGAGGCGCGTTCACTTGGTTCATGTACTTACGTAGATTCATCTTGCTCATGATATCTATCACCTGATAGTGTGATCGCGTCTCAGTTACACACCGACCGCCGTCACATAGAGGGAATGTTGTTTAGCGGGGCAGTATATAAATAGTACATTGAAGTGTTGGGGAAATCCCCGGGGTACCTGCAGTCCGTTCAGCAGGGAGAAGATGTACTGGAACAGGACAGTGGAGCTGTTCACGGCAAACACTCCCACAATCCATGTCGGCCCCAACACTGGGAGGAGGATCACGCAGGCCCGGATGTTGCACCTGCAGACAGGTGAGTGATCATTGAGGGACAGGTGAGTATACACAAGTTCTGAGTCACAAAAATATTCACGTAGCCTACATATCCTCTTGGAGTGTTCAGATGGAGGAACCGTCAGTGCGTTAGCGCTCCTAGACCACACAGAGGTGTAAGGCCTGCGGTAGTCATCGCAATTCGCCTGTAATCACACTGCCGGTAGGTTACTTACAGACCGCCATGCTTACATTACATTTCATTAATACATTTTCTTTTTTGTTAATACAGATTAGTTACACTCCCAAAATACACTAGCCTATGTATGCCTCGTTTGTCCATGTAAATATTGTCCAAACGGAAAATAACACAAAAAGAATGTCATACATTTAATGTCCAAACGTCAATCCCATTCATAGGAATAGTATAATATCGCTTACTTTATCTTTTGATTGTCTGTCTTCTTTTCGTTGGCCTTGACCTTGTTGAACTTAAACATCACGAGCACAAGGACAAGGACGTTGACCTGCAAGGTCAAAACATCACTTTCAGACAACATGGAGCTCGAGGGTAAACGTGATCGAATATGGGTCCCACTAGAAACACATGAAAGTAAAAACTTAAAAACTGAAACTATATTAAAGCAATTATAAAATTGGCTTCTTCTGGAGACATCGGTTGAGTGAGATCAAGCTATATCTGATAGGTCATATTACCATTACATCACGATGCCTTCAGACAACGGTGACGTCATCGGTTACCATCACAACTCCCGAGCCACTGAATCTGATTAGTCGAGACACTGGCTTATACAGGAGATATCGATTGGCTGAAATCAACCATCCCTTGATATCGGTACAAATAACTTGTATCGCAATTCTTAAGTTTGTTCATCATTGTGACGTCACTGGTTACCATGACGTCAAGCTCCAGTGGCATTACTTATCCCTCTGACACAGAATGCAGTCTGCAGCCTTCAGGAAACTGCACCTATTCCATATTCCAGTTGACAAGAGTGAACGATAAACAGAATCTCGCTCAATGTGAAACAATAATAATCGTTAAGCCAGAGATGATAGCATACACCTAGCAGCATCCCTGCTGTTCCAAAACAGTAATAGGCTTGACATTCAGATATATACTCAAACACAAAAGAAATGTCACCTTTCAAAACAAAATGCAATTTTCTTATTCTTACAAGGTGGTGTGTTTTTTATGATTGTACCGTTTTGTTACCATGTCAATTCAAATTTACAGTTATTACCAACATCAGTTTGTTTTCTGATGCAAAAACATATCGACCGAACGCACCTAAATAGGTAGACGTGGTAAAAGCTTCCGTATGACATTCGTGAAAATGAAATGCACGTGCATATTGTGACAACCCTACCAATGAAAGCGAGTCCCAAACTCGCCTGCAGTAATTTTTGTTTGGACACAATCGCCATGGCACGACTTACGAGAGATCAGAGGAACCAGGTCTTCGGACGATTGCAAGTTGGCCTGACTGCACGGTGGGTTTCCAATCGTTTTACTGTTCATGTTAGGATAATCTACCGACTGCAGGAGCGGTATCAGGCCACTAACAGCATCCAAGACCGTCCACGCAGTGGACAACCTTCAGTAACATCACAACGCCAAGACTGACAGACCGTGTGCAACTATCTGCTTCACCAGAGCGACGGAAACAGCACGCCAGACCATTGGGATTCACAACAGACCCATTATATTCCATTATATATTAGTGCCGATACAGTGCGTCGACGTTTGCGCGGAAGCAACCTCTGCAATCACAGACCATATCGCGGTTCTGTCCTCACCGCTCGCCACCGCCCAAACCGACTGAATTGGCAACTCAGCATCGAAATTAGCGTTATCGACAATCGACTGTGCTTTTTTTTCTGATGAAAGCCGATATTGTGTTTAGACAGCCGACGGCAGAGTGAGAGTATTGCGAAGGCGTGGGGAACGCTTTTCCAATGAGTGTGTTATTAGGAGACTTGAGGGGTGGTCCAAGCGTTTGGGGTACAATCGGTCTGAACCAGAGAGTTGGCCCCTTGGTGTTCCATAATTTATGTCCAGGACGAGGAAATGGCATGACAGCTGCTCGCTATATTGACCAAGTCATAAGACCCCACGTTGTACCACATTTTGGATGTCACAGAAATCACATCTTCCAATAAGACAACGCTCGTGCCCCCAAAGCCAAAGGTATTTCGCAGAGTATGGACCCAAGTGCCTATTATTTGGCCTTCACCAACCGGCTAATTCATTCCATGTACAGACGATGCAACGCCGTCATCGATGCCATTGGAGGTATCTTAATGGTACCATTTTTTGGTGATTTCGTTTGTGTGAACACTAAATGTGATTCCCGAAAATATGTTAACCATAATTGTCAAAATTGAACTCAGTCATCTGCTTTGATTGTTAATTAGAGCGAATTAAAGTGTGTGTTTTAAGAAACCTCTATCGCTGTGACGTTTCTTTTGCGATTCAGCATACTATGGTCTTCGCACAACCGTTGTTCCTTTACCATGCTTGAAGATTCTATGCTCTTCTAAAATATTCTAGATTATACACGACTCAAAAAATATGAAATATGCGTACATGCTAACCAGTGCTTACAGTATATATATAGTTATACATCCATGACAACTAATTATTGCTAAAACATAATTTTAATGAACTTCGAGTGAATTTTAACAGCCAAATTGTAATACAATCACAACACTGTTAACAATGAACTTCACAACTTGTAAGACGACTTACCGTAAACACGGACACTGCTGGGGCAATAAATGCAAACACAAGACCTTGATCCGGCGACAGCCAGCAGCTGAAAAATATTAATGATAATTATATAATTTAATAATATAATAATACTTTATTGCCCGACAAAGGAATTCGTTTTACAACAGTGAGATATACAGCATGGTTAAAACAAATTAAGCACAGAAACACGATCACCTTAAAACACACAGATAAACAGGATGAGAAGAATGACAAGTGTATGCTGTAAGAGACTAGTAGACAAATACATTTAAAATTATGGCTATGTCCAACATTCATATAAAAGTTTAATGCTAACAGGTATAAAAGATGTTTGTGGCCTTTTTGTGCGAACTTTAGGTACGAGGAATCTACGTCCAGATGGTAAAAGTTTAAAACAAGAATGTAAATCATGAGACGGGTCGGATAAAGTTTTGTTCGCAGACATTAAAACACGATTCTTATACATATAACAAAGGGGGTTAAAATTCATGCCGACAATTTTTGAACAGGGGGTTACAACTTTTTGGAGTTTGTTTTTCTTTTGGAGGGAAAGGGCACCAACACTGAACAGAGAACAGTAAAACAGATTGGATACATTCCAAATGGTATTGTCAGTCAATGTTAAAAGATCTGAGCCTCCTCATGAAATACATCCGTTGTTGACATTTCTTGTATATAGAATCGGCATTTTGAGAGAGAGAGAGTTTACTGTTTACTGGGACGGTATTGTGTTTGTCTGCTGTAAACCACATTCATGACGCTAACACTTATTACCATCAAATATCATCGAGTGAGTGTGTGGGTGAGAGGGTGAGTTTAGTTTTACGCTGCCTTTAGCAATATTGCAGCAATATCACATCGGGAACACCAGAAACGGGCTTCACATATTGTGCCCATGTCGGGAATCGAACCCGGATCTTCGGCGTGAAGAGCGAACGCTTTAACAATAAGGCTACTCCACCGCCCCAAATCGATTGTGAGTCAGTGAGTCAGTGAGTTTAGATTTACGCACTCAGCAATATTCCAGCAATATGGCGGGGGTCTGTAAATAAACGAGTCTGGACCAGACAATCTAGTGATCAACAGCCTGAGCATCGATCTGCGCAATTGGGAACCGATGACATGTCAGGGAGTCTGACCACCCGATCCCGTAAGTCGCCTCTTACGACAAGCATGGGTTACTGAAGGCCAATATTCTAAACCGGATCTTCACGGGTCGATTGTGAGTCAGACAAACCCGTGATTGACACCATGAGCGCCGCCCCATGACATCAGGTACACAGAATGCGAGCCAACAAGCCTGTACAACTGCGGATCGTGTGATCGCCCTTTTGATTCACGTTTCAAACCAAACATTTGACAACGTAAAGACAAAATATGTCAAATCTTCATATCCGCAGCCATGGCAAGCCCAAAAGCTATTTATCATCGTTGGTACAAACACTCCCCAGAGTTTGAAATATATCTTCACTTTCCTAAAGTTATATCACAGCAACTTTTGACATTCAGAACATCAAACCAGAACCTACCGGTTGAGACTGGCCGCTGGAGTGGAGTACCCAGAGAAGAGCGACTTTGCCCCCTCTGCAGCTCACCAGCAGTTTCAGATGAGTACCATTATCATTTTAAATGTGAAGCCTTCATTTCCAATTTTATCCCAAATCAATTTCTACAATAGCCCAATCTCGCAAAAACGGCGAACCTTCTCAAATCAAAACACTTTACTTAACTTAGCAAAATATATTAGAACTGTTTCCAAAAAGTTCCAAATAAAATCTAATTTGTAACATTTACGCTTTTTCAATTAGAATATCTTAAGTTTGTATATGTATTACAAACGTCGATGTACATACCTGCTATCATGCATGCCATTTATTGTATTCAATTATTTGTCTCATGTACCACCGTTGGTGGGTTTTTGAGAATAAAGATGAGATGAGACTCAGTTATTCGCCCAGTCAAACCATGAGGATCCCAGGGGTAACATGGGAACAACTTACTATGCTTCATTTCCGTACAAATGGTAGGACGTAAACAGGGACACTCCCACTATGACAAGGGGTGTTAGGTAGGCGGCGACCGTGTATGCCACAGAGTGGTTCTTCTGGTTGAAGACATCTGACACCTTGAAGTAGAGCTCCATCCCCTGTGTGAGCATCCAAGTGAGGCAGGCCAGGAACAGGTAGTGTAGCAGGATCGCTACTGACTTGCACACCATCTGAAACAGCAGATTCAGAAGCAGTGGACGGAACCCTTCGGAAAATATCGCAGCGTCAATAATGTGAGTGAGCGGGTTTGGTAAGCCCGCTTTGAAAAGTGTTTTCGTAATACGACGTCATGTCACACCGAGTGAGGCAGTGAATGAGTGAGAGAATTTGGTTTAACGCTTCTTTCAAAGTATTTCACCAGTAAACTGTTGTCTGTATTGGTCAGCATTTTACATTTCATTGTAAGTTTACAGATTGTTGATGTTCTAATGACGGCGTGTTGTTTGGGTAGAGATTGTTGATGTTCTGATGTTGGTGTGTTGTTTGGGTGAATATTGTTGATGTTCTGATGACGGTGTGTTGTTTTGGTAGAGATTGTTGATGTTCTGATGACGGTGTGTTGTTTTGCTAGAGATTGTTGATGTTCTGATGACGGTGTGTTGTTTTGGTAGAGATTGTTGATGTTCTGATGACGGTATGTTGTTTGAGTGAAGATTGTTGATGTTCTGATGACGGTGTGTTGTCTGGGTAGAGATTGTTGATGTTCTGATGACGGTGTGTTGTTTGGGTAGAGATTGTTGATGTTCTGATGACGGTGTGTTGTTTGGGTGAAGATTGTTGATGTTCTGATGACGGTGTGTTGTTTGGGTGAAGATTGTTGATGTTCTGATGACGGTGTGTTGTTTGAGTGAAGATTGTTGATGTTCTGATGACGGTGTGTTGTCTGGGTAGAGATTGTTGATGTTCTGATGACGGTGTGTTGTTTGGGTGAAGATTGTTGATGTTCTGATGACGGTGTGTTGTTTGAGTGAAGATTGTTGATGTTCTGATGACGGTGTGTTGTTTGGGTGAAGATTGTTGATGTTCTGATGACGGTGTGTTGTTTGAGTGAAGATTGTTGATGTTCTGATGACGGTGTGTTGTTTGGGTGAAGATTGTTGATGTTCTGATGACGGTGTGTTGTTTGGGTGAAGATTGTTGATGTTCTGATGACGGTGTGTTGTTTGGGTGAAGATTGTTGATGTTCTGATGACGGTGTGTTCTCTGGGTAAAGATTGTTGATGTTCTGATGATGGTGTGTTGTTTGAGTGAAGATTGTTGATGTTCTGATGACGGTGTGTTGTTTTGGTGAACATTGTTGATGTTCTGATGACGGTGTGTTCTTTGGGTGAAGATTGTTGATGTTCCCATGACGGTGTGTTGTTTGAGTAGACATTGTTGATGTTCTGATGACGGTGTGTTGTTTGAGTGAAGATTGTTGATGTTCTGAGGACGGTGTGTTGTTTGAGTGAAGATTGTTGATGTTCTGATGACGGTGTATTGTTTGGGTGAAGATTGTTGATGTTCTGATGACGGTGTGTTCTCTGGGTAAAGATTGTTGATGTTCTGATGATGGCGTGTTGTTTGGGTGAACATTGTTGATGTTCTGATGACGGTGTGTTGTTTGGGTGAAGATTGTTGATGTTCCCATGACGGTGTGTTGTTTGAGTAGACATTGTTGATGTTCTGATGACGGTGTGTTGTTTGAGTGAAGATTGTTGATGTTCTGATGACGGTGTGTTGTTTGAGTGAAGATTGTTGATGTTCTGATGACGGTGTGTTGTTTGGGTGAAGATTGTTGATGTTCTGATGACGGTGTGTTGTTTGGGTAGAGATTGTTGATGTTCTGATGACGGTGTGTTGTTTGGGTAGAGATTGTTGATGTTCTGATGACGGTGTGTTGTTTGAGTAGAGATTGTTGATGTTCTGATGACGGTGTGTTGTCTGGGTAGAGATTGTTGATGTTCTGATGACGGTGTGTTGTTTGGGTAGAGATTGTTGATGTTCTGATGACGGTGTGTTGTTTGGGTAGAGATTGTTGATGTTCTGATGACGGTGTGTTGTCTGGGTAGAGATTGTTGATGTTCTGATGACGGTGTGTTGTCTGGGTAGAGATTGTTGATGTTCTGATGACGGTGTGTTGTCTGGGTAGAGATTGTTGATGTTCTGATGACGGTGTGTTGTTTGGGTGAAGATTGTTGATGTTCTGATGACGGTGTGTTTTCTGGGTAGAGATTGTTGATGTTCTGATGACGGTGTGTTGTCTGGGTAGAGATTGTTGATGTTCTGATGACGGTGTGTTGTTTGGGTAGAGATTGTTGATGTTCTGATGACGGTGTGTTGTCTGGGTAGAGATTGTTGATGTTCTGATGACGGTGTGTTGTCTGGGTAGAGATTGTTGATGTTCTGATGACGGTGTGTTGTCTGGGTAGAGATTGTTGATGTTCTGATGACGGTGTGTTGTCTGGGTAGAGATTGTTGATGTTCTGATGACGGTGTGTTTTCTGGGTAGAGATTGTTGATGTTCTGATGACGGTGTGTTGTCTGGGTAGAGATTGTTGATGTTCTGATGACAGTGTGTTGTCTGGGTAGAGATTGTTGATGTTCTGAGGACGGTGTGTTGTCTGGGTAGAGATTGTTGATGTTCTGATGACTGTGTGTTTTCTGGGTAGAGATTGTTCATGTTTTGCTGACGACGTGTTGTCTGGGAAAAGATTGTTGATGTTCTGATGACGGTGTGTTTTCTGGGTAGAGATTGTTGATGTTCTGATGATGGTGTGTTGTTTGGGTGAAGATTTTTGATGTTCTGATGTTGGTGTGTTGTTTGGGTAGAGATTGTTGATGTTTTGATGACGGTGTGTTGTCTGGGTAGAGATTGTTGATGTTCTGATGACGGTGTGTTGTCTGGGTAGAGATTGTTGATGTTCTGATGACGGCGTGTTGTCTGGGTAGAGATTGTTGATGTTCTGATGACGGCGTTTTGTCTGGGTGAAGATTGTTGATGTTCTTGAGTTGTTTGGGTAGAGATTGTTGATGTTCTGATGACGGCGTGTTGTCTGGGTGAACATGGTTGTTGTTCTGGAGTTGTTTGTGTAGAGATTGTTGATGTTCTGATGTCGGTGTGTTGTCTGGGTAGAGATTGTTGATGTTCTGATGACGGTGTGTTGTCTGGTTGAAGATTGTTGATGTTCTCTTTTAGCAAGTTGAGTTGCTTTTAGCAACAATCCTGTTTAAGCTTTTTTTAATAATGATAGGTACTCCCGTGGGGAGGGTTAACAAATGGACGGTCCTTTACCTCATTGTTGGTCTTATCGATGCCCAGCAGGAACACCGTCTGGGACAGGAGCAGCATGAACACCAGGTTCTTCAGTATGTACAGCCTCTTGGACGCCCGTCTGGAACACCAGTTGTGCTGGTACAAATGTGACACTTTCTGATACGGTCATTCACACTCACACACACTCACTCACGCACGCGTGCGCACCTTATTTCAGCTTAAACCACGTCATTTAACCTTTCCTTCAACCATCTCACCATAACCCTCCTCATCCCACCTCACCTCACCTTACTTCACCTCACCTAACCTCACCATATCCCTCCTCATCTCACCCACCTGACTCCTATCAGCATGATGAAAGTGATGGACAGTGCCGTGATTGAGACGACACATCCGATCAGTGACGTTACTTCCAGACCGGCAACATCCGACAGGGGCACCTTTTAGAAATAGACAGTAACAAGATAAAAGAAGCCATCGAGCGATGTCAAACGACTGGAAGATCTGGGGTAACACGTGATGTAGTTCAACCATTATGGAATTTATGTGGGTGTTTGTGGGTGTGGGGTTTTTTTTGTTTCGGAGGGAGGGGGGCGTGCGTGTGTGTTTGTGTTGGGTGTAGAGCGTGGGGGTGGAGGTGGGGGTTCTGGGAGGTTCTTGTTATCCTGACAATTATGTTAGATAGGTCTCACGCGTCCAGAAAAAACAACTTTGCTCAGTAGTCCAAAATGTATTTTTTCTCAAAATGATTTCGTTGACCATTCTTAATATATTATTAAATGGCCTCAAACACTTTTCACGGGACGTAGATCACCAATCTAGCTAGTTTGTAATAAACTGGACGTCAGCGTCCCATGTGCAATATCCCTTGCAGGTTTGGCAGCCCTAAGATATCCCATATCATTTCTCTTCATGTGATTGACTTGTTCACCCCTGGTATCGCCCCATTAGATAAACAGCATTCATTTCTTGAAGCATCGACGCACGGCACGCAACGTTACAACTGTCAGCTATGTTCAAATACCGTACAACAAACATATATACATGTTTGACACATTGACCATTTAGAAACTATCATATTGTAAGGAACCCGTTAACGCTCACCGTCAGTTTCACTGGCTGCATTATGATGGCGAAGTTGGTCAGGTGACTGGATTTGCACACGGTACTACTGTCCGTCATCCGGGTAGTTTCTATACCGGAAGGGGACCACTCTGAACTGATGAAAGAAATAGGTTCAAGGTCACTAGCCTCCTGTAAATTGTTTGTTTGCTTGTTTTGATATTCATCACCGCATTCAGTAATATTCCAGCTGTGTGACGGCAGCCTCTTACGGCTCGGACCAGATAATTCAGTGATTGACATCATGAGCACCGATCCACGTTGTTGTTGTTGTTTGTTGTTTTACGCCTCACTCGGCAATATTCCAGCTATATGGCGGCAGTCTGTAAATAATCGAGTCTGGACCAGACAATCCAGTGGTAAACAGCAGAGCATCGATCTGCGCAATTGGGAACCGATGACATGTGCCAACCAAGCCAGCGAGACTGACTACCCGATCCCGTCAGTCGCCTCTTACGACAAGCATGGGTTACGGAAGGTCAATATTCTAAAACGGACCTTCACGGGTCGATTGTGAGTCAGACAAACCCGTGATTGACATCATGAGCGCCGCTCTATGACGTCAGGGTACACAGAATGCGAGCCAACAAGCCTTTACAACTGCGGATAGTGTGATCGCCCAATTCTTATTCGGATCTTCACGAGGTACAGTCTATGCAGTTCGGATACGATGATGTGCATCTAACAAGTGGAGTTCCTAATGACCTGGCTAACAAACAATCGGAACATACCTGTGTAGATCTTCCTTCATGAACACACACAATGGACTCAGTCTGTTGCGCTGCAATGAACGGAACATTCATTCGTCAACACTCGCCCTTTTCCGTGATCTGTAAGAAGACTCGTCCCCAAATCGATCAATGTGTGAAAATACGACAATATGTGCAACAGAACTGAGATACTTGACACAAACAATCCTGAGTTCGTAGATCATTTATGGCAAAAGTAATCTAAAAATCGTAAAATCTGCACATCGCCATTTCGAGATGACAAGTTCGTCGAAAAATAATTGTGTTACATGAACTGCAGTTGTAGACTGGATCATGCACGGTGATAGATTCATATCAACCATTGCATTTCTATGGAGGTGCTTGTCATAGAACAAAACAGTTGTACAAAGGCTGTAAAATATAGGACGACATTTAAATTTTTCTTGGCAAGATGTAAACAGTAATATATCATCCCAGCTTTGTCCAAACAGATGTAATTTGGAACCAGTGTTCCAAACGCTTGATGTGCTATAATGGAAGGCTAAATTTTACACTTGTTCATTGCTGATGACTAGGGTCCAGAAATATGACTCACAACCTCCTGATGAGTGAGTGAGTGAATTAGTGAGTTAGTGGTTTTACGCCGCTTTTAGCAATATTCCAGCATTATCTTCGGCGTGACGAGCGAACGCTTGAACCACTATGCTATCCCACCGCCCCCTCAACATAGTAGCCGTATACATGACAGTAAGGACGATTGAACACTTACATCCAAAGGCACATGCGTGAACTGTAGATCGAGTGTTGACGTCATCGAATCATGTGCGCCGATGTTCACTGACACAATGGGTGTGATTCGTGACGACTCGTTGACAGCACCCAGTTCAGAATCCAAGATGGCGACCATCACTTGGCCGTACTTTGAGTCACCTGTTGCTGGAAAATGATATTAAAGGAAAGTTATGGAATCATCAACGCGCAAACACTGTGAGCTTTGCCAACCCAACGCAATCTTCTGTTGCCATGGTTGCAGTCAGTACATTCAGAAGCGGCGCCAGAGAGTAATCTTTGGACTGATTCCATTGAGTGAGTGAGTGAGTGGCTTTAGTTTTACTCCGCCAATCTGATAATTCCGTGAGTGAGTGAGCTGGGTTGTACGCCGCTTTAAGTAATATTTCAACAATATCTGGGCGGGGGACACCAGAAATGGACTTCACACATTGTACTCATATGGGGAATCGAACCCGGGTCTTCGTTGGGACGAGCGAACGTTTTAACAACTAGGCTACCCCTGATGGAAATTGGAAATGAACAGATCCCCTAAAACCTGGCGATGACACCAGGTGTTGCAACCTACCGTTAGATTCAAGCGGAGGAACTATAACGGAGACTTTATCAAACTGAAACCTAGCCGACCTCTTCCCGTCAAATTTCTCAGCATGAAACTCTGAAAAAGAATGAAAATATACTGAACAAAAAAAGTTGAGAATCATAAATATTTGGGGGATATTTTGTAGCGAAGACGAAGCACACAATCTCAAATATATCGCAAAAAATATTCATGATCCCTTATGTAGCGAAGACGAAGCACACAATCTCAAATATATCGCAAAAAATATTCATGATCCCTTATGTTTTCGTTTTCAATAACGCATTGCTGTGCGCCACAGAAATTGGCTGTGAACATTTAAATATATTCTTATTTTGCTTTATATAGTCAATGTGTCAAACGTGTAGGGACTAGGTTGGGAATCGAACCCATGTGCGTTAGGAGTGTACTCTTAAACTACTGGGCTACCAAACCACCTACTAAGAGGCTGGGTATTTACTGAGTAAGGTTATAGAACTTATAACTCTGTACATAGTGTTATCGTAATTATTGTAAATGGGCGATCTTTTTGTTACGAGGGGCGATAACTCTCCTTTTGAAATGATGTAAGCGATGCATGGTCCAACTTCTCGCTTCCGGTCTGGTTCCCGATTCAACGTGCTCTGCGACAACTTTCGACATGTAAAGACAGAGCCATTCTTACGTGTTTGATATTATTCGTCCGCGACTATATATTTTTTACAATTACTTGAACATTGTTTTTCACTTCTCTACGTTATATATCTTCTAAATATCCGTGTTGTTGAAAAAATATCCCAATATATTCGGGCCGATGAAATTTACACGTTGCATACAAGACCTTCACATTTCGTGCACCGCTTCAGCTTCCCTAATCGGCCGTAATACGAAAGAGATTTGAGTAGAAATACAATGAAAATACACTCCAGATTTAAAAGTAGGATTTTCATGCATCTAGTACAAGACTTTCATTACCGATTGCTAACCGTCAACAAAACGACAACACGTGATCTGTTTGAATGATTGTCTGATTCCACCGCCTCTCTTCGAACGGTTTTCTCACGATTCATTATTGCAACATATATCACTCATGCATCATGGAATCACAGAACACGGGCATAGCACTTGATATATCAACGTTCAAGGTAAAAATTGGTGTCTATGCACCAGCGTGAACGTTACCGGTGTGGGCGAAGGCTATACTGGTTAACTGTCTCTAAGTGTAATAGTAACACGTACAGCTCCCATCGCGCATACGACATGCGCTGTCAGTTTAAGGTTGGACCGTTTGAGAGGCATTCTAGAAGTTGTACATGAAAGTACTAAGAATGACAAGTCTTTAAGGATGATTAACGTCTTTATTGTACAATACCGACGTTATACCGTTAAGTATAAGTATCTATACCGAAACATTGCTATTGTACAGTAAAGAAGTTGATCATCCATAAAGATTTGTCATTTCTAAGGTTGAACCTTCCGAATCAGCGCACCTAGCGGATTAGTGAAGGGAAGATAAATTGAAAAGACCGCCTATTATAACACACTGGACACGGCGGCCATTAACAGAAACGGAAGTGCCGGTCCTTTGCCAGCTGTTACACTTTCAGCAGCAGATGACAAGGTTGAAAGTTTATATCTTCCATCCGTTCATGACGGACATTTGTGAATGTAATGACTTTGTCTTGACGGTATCAGTTATATTAATCAAGATAGAGCTCGTTAGTTACGGAAGCCAGTTAGTCGGTTGTGCCCGGCTAACTGGATTTGTTATATTAATCTGATGCGTTCTATATTTAAATGTCTTACACGAACAACTATCGATCACATGTGTTGGAATTAATCAGGTTATGTCAAATCTCGTCCAAACCAAAGCCGTACCGTTTAACAATTCAGTTTTCCATGCGTATATATATTATTCAAAGATCGAAAATTCAAAACACCCTCGTATATAGGCGTAATAATACCTATGATTATAGTTTAGCGCAAGTCCATTCTGTCGCGCATACAACCTGCACGTGCGGTACATGCTGTCCGAGCCAGCCCTGCTGCCCTGTGCTCAGTCGCCCAGTTGTAACAGAGCGTTAGGACACGCATCCACCTCCGTGGGTAGTTTTAGGGCTCCTTGCCTCTAGGCAGGAGACCAATTGAAATCGTTCGGATTATTATGTTTTACAGATTAAAGATAATATGCAGCAGAGAGGGTTCGGGTGATCCTAGCACAGTCAGGCTGGTAAGGCTCATCATCAGCTCAGGGCCCTTGCCCCCTCTACACGCAGCCCAGACAGCGAATGGGACTTATCCCAGGAAACGCTGCCTAGTCGAACCCACCAAGAACTTCCCGGAGAATATGAAGGCTCCCCAACACTGCAGCCTTCTGCATTACCCAGAGTGTCAGAAGGGCTGTACTCCCGGTGGAGAACCCGGGCACTCTCCTGATCTGCGCCAAGAGATCAGGAGGTACCAAACCAAGGGCTTATTATTATTATGTTTTACAGATTAAAGATAATATGCAGCAGAGAGGGTTCGGGTGATCCTGGCACAGTCAGGCTGGTAAGGCTCATCATCAGCTCAGGGCCCTTGCCCCCTCTACACGCAGCCCAGACAGCGAATGGGACTTCTCCCAGGAAACGCTGCCTAGTCGAACCCACCAAGAACTTCCCGGAGAATATGAAGGCTCCCCAACACTGCAGCCTTCTGCATTACCCAGAGTGTCAGAAGGGCTGTACTCCCGGTGGAGAACCCGGGCACTCTCCTGATCTGCGCCAAGAGATCAGGAGGTACCAAACCAAGGGCACCGAGAACAATGGGAGCCTGATTATTATTATTATTATTATTATTATTATTATTATTATTATTATTATTATTATTATTATGTTTTACAGATTAAAAATTGTATGCAGCAGAGAGGGTTCGGGTGATACTGGCACAGTCAGGCTGGTAAGGCTCATCATCAGCTCAGGGCCCTTGCCCCCTCTACACGCAGCCCAGACAGCGAATGGGACTTCTCCCAGGAAACGCTGCCTAGTCGAACCCACCAAGAACTTTCCGGAGAATATGAAGGCTCCCCAACACTGCAGCCTTCTGCATTACCCAGAGTGTCAGAAGGGCTGTGCTCCCGGTGAAGAACCCGGGCACTCTCCTGATCTGCGCCAAGAGATCAGGAGGTACCAAACCAAGCGCACCGAGAACAATGGGGAGCCTGACGACAGTGTACGTGGGATGCAAGCGAGACATTTCAAAGGCGAGGTCCGCATATTTATCATGCTTTTCCTTAATCTTGCCAATCACATTGGTGTCAAAAGGGACAGAAAATTCAATGATATAAATAAATTCATTGGCTTTATCAAAAAGGACAAGATCAGGTTTGTTAGCTGGAATTCTTCTGAGGCTGTATATGGGCCTATTCCACAGAAGTTTGAAAGCATCATTTTCCATGACGCCCTGGACATGTTCAGGGTCGTACCATGGATTGACCTCGGAGTCAAAGCCACAGGCATGTCGGAGACGGTAGTAAAAGCAACGAGCCATGCCATCATGTCGTTTAAGATATGCTGTTTGTGCCAAGGAAGGGCATCCACTGACAAGGTGTTGGACAGTATCCGTGAATTCATTGCAAAGACGACATTTCATATTGATATTTTCTTTAAGAATCACATTTAGGCGATTGCGAGTGGGAAGTGACTGGTCCTGAACAGCCAAAAGGAAGCCCTCACTTTCACATTTAAGACCAGCCGACTTCATCCAGGCGAAGGAGTCGGTGGGATTGCTATTCTGTTCAACACACTGCATGTACACGCGATGCAATGGATTCTCAGAAAGCTTCTCCAGAAAAGACCGACTCTGGGCAGACTTGGTGAAGGACTTCACCTGGTTTACTCCCATCGCTGTACCGTCCAGCAGTACATCGCCATCAGCAAAGTCAACCTCAAATTTCAGATTCTGTCCAACAACCTTGGCACGCTTAAAAAAGCTGTGGAATTCCTTGCTTTCATCATGGGTCTTGACATGCATCACCAGAGGATCATCCGATAAATAAATATGTGCAAAAGTACACAATAAAATTCTGTCTTGAAGAGCCTCCACATTAATCAAACCCCGACCTCCAGAATTGATTGGCATATATAAACGGTTAAGAGAGGAACGAGGGTGGTGGGCTCTGTTATCAGACATGATCCTCCTGGTCAGGCGGTCAAGACACTGGATGTCTTGTTTCGTCCAGTCAACTACTCCAAAGGAATAGGGAAGGACAGGCACACCAAAAGTATTGGTGGCTTTGACCTTGTTTCGAGCATTTAGCTCTGAGCTCCAGATTTTCTTTAAGCGAGATTTGTACTCGGCCCGAAGTTTGTCTTGAATTTGGGCTTTCTGGAGCTTGTCTCGAACTTGCATTCCAAGATAGGTGTAGGCCTGATCTTCCACAAGATGCTCAATAACTCCTCTTCTTGTAACTTGACCGATCCATCATTAACTACCTTGCCACGTTTCAAATGAAGAGTATTACATTTGTCGAGTCCAAATGTCATGCCAATATCATTAGAAAAGGACTCGACAAGGAGAACCTGTTCTTTCAAATTGGTATCTCCTTTGGCAAGGAGCTCGATGTCATCCATGTAAAGGAGATGAGTAAGAGGTGTTGGGGATCTGTGCTGAGGAGGTCCGGGATGGTAACCCTCCTCTTTATTGAGCAGAAAGCTCAAAGGATTTAAAGACAGACAAAAAAGCAAAAGACAAAAAGAATCCCCCTGGAAAATCCCCCTTCTGATTGGAATAGATTCCGAAGTCTGCACCTGCCCTTGCGAGTACATCTCAAGTTGAGTCGACCAGCAACTCATTAAAGACTTGAGTAAATCAAGTAGTCGCTCAGGGAGGTCAATACAATGAAGAGACTTCAGAATCCATTCGTGAGGAACAGAGTCGTATGCTTTTTTGTAGTCAATCCAGCACATGGAGAGGTTGCGGTGATATGCTTTAGCCTCTTCCAAAATCATTTTCTGTACAAGAAGTTGATCCTCGCATCCCGAACATCCCTTTCTTGATCCCTTCTGCTCTCTGTAAATGATATCATTGGAAGAGCAGTAAGATGACATGAGGTTTGTCAAACACCCTGTGAATATTTTATACTGAGTATTCAAACATGCGATAGGGCGGAAGTTTTGGGGATCAGTCAAGTCTCCTTTCTTGGGGAGAAGTATTGTGCGACCTTTGCAGAACCATGGAGGAACATCACCTGTGTCCACGAGAGAATTGAAACAGTGTAGTAATGGTGTTTGGACACAGGGGAACAGTTTCCAGTACCGGTTTCGAATGCCATCAGGCCCTGGAGCTGTATTAGATTTGGACTTTTTGATGACACTTTTCAGGCAATCTGGTGAGATGTAACAGACACACGACCTAATTACCTTCTCATGCATTGCATGGTCATAATCACGGACCCATGGTGCCTCAAGGTTACAGTTGCCGGGTACAGACCACAACTGTTTCCAGAACCTTTCATTGGCATCCATGGGAGGCCGTTTGTCATGTTCACCATCACCCTTTGTTTTCAGTTGCCTGTAGAAGTGTTTTTCATTGTTTCTAAAAAGTTTATTTTGTTTGATGAATTTATTTTTCTTTTCCCATTTTTTCTTTCTTTCAGTCCAAACCTTTATTTTGGCCTTAAGGGAACAATTTGGAGAAGTACCCTGTCTTTTGTTGTCTTGTATTGTAATTTTAATTTTCTCCAAATTGCCTTTTGCCGTTTTTACATTGGACTCCCTGATGATCTTAACTTCAGGCACAGCTCTATCCAGGAAATGTATTTTCTAGTTTCCGTTAGTTTTATTACTTGAAACCGGTTTTTCTTTGGTGTATTGTTCCTAGTATTAGATGCTTTTTCTTTGGAAACTGTGTGAATTTCCTCCAAGGTTCGAGCGGCAGCATAGACACAACAATTAACTTCATGTAATGAACAGTCCGATGAAAGTTTCATAGAAATAATATCATTTAATAAATTGATTTCATTTTGGGGAAAAGATTCATTTGTTTGTTTAATTGGCCTCCAATATTCTAAAGGTATATCAGATATTTCATCATAAATAGAATGATTATCATTATTTATTATTCCGCCGATTTTTGTACCAAACATACCTCCTAAACCAATCCTCAAACATCACACAGATGCCCACCGAGGTGAAGATATTCACCGTAAAAATCTCTAGGCTCTAGGCCCAATAGCAAAGGGAAGATAATTCAAAATTAATTCCAACATTTCAACGTTTGACAGCAAATATCTCAAGAACTAATTCTTCCAACACTTCCAAATCTCTTCTACAGGTGAACAATCGAATTCTCAACAACTTTGCCTGGACAGGTCAAGTCGCTAAAATGTACCGTTTGGCAGTTATTTTTGTTTTCAGTTTTTGGCCATGTTTTTCAGCAGTTTTCTGAGTAGTTTGCTCCCAAAACCATCAGCTCCAGACATTCCAAATTTTCCATAACTGATGTCCAGTAACCATTGTGCAAGTTCTGCACAAAAAGTGCCAGTATGATAGATGAAGTCTTGGTGATTCCAGAACACTAGTTGTTTTGACCGTAGACCCAAGAACAACTGAGATACAACCTTTTAAAGAGGGAACTATTTCTTCTCCAAATCTTCTTAAAAGATACATGACCCCCGCGACCCCGGCTGTATTTGGAAGATCCGCTCGCCTGTCAAAAACGTGTTCTTGCTCCGTTTTGGACGATCATTTCTAGCCCTCAAATACAATAGATAGAACTAAAGCCAATGAGCCCACATCGTTGCTTGTAACTATATTTATTAAATGTTTTAGGTTTTCAGTTGTTTTCTGAGAATCGAGGTTTTATGCATTTTATATGCAAAATTAATAAATTCACATATTTTCCCAAGCAAGAGTTAACAAATCAAAATAAGCATTTACAAGTGGTATTAAAATAGCAAACGTATATTATACGATGAACATATGGATGTTGTTGCACATTAGTTCACTTGCTGTTGACCGAACTTGCAACATTGGAACCTGAAGCAAAGTGAACTATGTTACAACAGGGACGTTGTACAAGATAATAGATGTGACTTATAAACAATGCATCTTACTGCAGTTATTGTCCTTGAAGGTAAGTTCCGTCTTGTCTCGAAGCAGTTCCTTCTCCAGCTTACGGAGGAATTTGTCAGCCCCGAGAATCATTCTGTGATGCCGACCTGTCTGCTGAAGGGTAACACCAAAATAGGAAACTGTGGACTCTTCAGAGGTTATTTCTAGAAGTGTTTGTTAAAAACACCGCACTCAGTAATATTCCACTTCTTTGACGGAGGTTATTAAATCATCGACTCTGGACCAGAAATCCGTTGCAAATGGGACTTAAAGGCACAATGTCACACCAAACATAATGCATTTCTCTCAATAATACTAACTATCAGCCCTCAGGGAAGCTAGTACCATAAAAAAAAATTCTCCCAAAATTACGCATTTAGATTGCAATATTAAACTGAACCTTTCTAATGAATTATTGCAACGTTGCATTAAATTTACTCTCGCGCCATCTACCGGCCAATCATTATTTCAAGCGAACCCCCATAGAGTTATGTCCCTTAGAACGCCCTTTACGAATACCCTACGCACAACTATCAATCGTAACTACTCGTCCCTTTCCGCAACCTGAAAGTAGACACGCCAAGGAAGTAACCTCAAAGGATATGTTTAACATGCTTAAATACTTTCCTACGCCATAATGCTAATATATCCTGGTTATAAAAATTCAGGAAACCCAGGAGGACTATGCAATAGTTAGAATATACTTGAAGTGTCTGGGAAAACATTAAGCAAGCCGAAATGAAAAATATTTCAAAGACCTATTTTAACCCAACTACATACGCGCTCTCTGATTGGCTGGGGGAATATTTCTCCCGGACATGGCTACGAGAGGGGTACGAGTCTACTCTCAGCTTACGGAAAGAGACGAGTAGTTACGAATGGCACAGCTATGTGATTGAAACCAGTTCGACAAACACCGACAACACCGCGTGCGACGGTTTTCGATGTACGGAGCAATTGTTAATATTCCATTTAGGGAAAGTGTCCTCTGTTTGGAAGCTGTTCTCCTCGAAGTTTCAGTTATCGATTTCTGGGATAATAAGGGAAGGGATACTAAGTCTTTTACTACATCAATATCATGCCAAAGTGAGTGCATATGTCCCATATGTTTAATTTAGGACAAAATATTGTCGAAAATGTGTGACATTGTGCCTTTAAAGACAAATTTAACCGTTGACGACAAACCAAGAAAAATTTAGCGGCATGATCTACCAGTTTCAGTTTGTGTACGGATCAGCTGGACGCACCTGTCATGAGCATGCCCTTCATGTAATCTACAGATGTTGGACAGTTAGTTTCTAGTCTGTCTCACAGTCCCTGAACCATATTATTTTCTCCACAGTCTAGCCATCCCTGTAATGCTTAAGCTCTAAATGGAGCAAGTCTTGATTTCCTCAGGTTCAGGTGAATCGCTGGCCTCCCTGTGTTTTATTTTCAATTTGAATGGGTTTAGCACAGTTATGTATATTCAGAGACTACGCGTAGTCTAGACAGTTTCAGTCAGGGGTGTGGACCATGTGGATGCACCTGTCATGAGCTTGTAATCTACAGATGTTGGACAGTTTCAGTCATGTGTAGACCATCTGGACGCACCTGTCATGAACTTGTAATCTACACATGTTGGACAGTTTCAGTCATGTGTGTGGACCATCTGGACGCACCTGTCATGAGCTTGTAATCTACAGATGTTGGACAGTTTCAGTCAGGGGTGTGGACCATCTGGACGCACCTGTCATGAGTTTGTAATCTACACATGTTGGACAGTTTCAGTCATGTGTAGACCATCTGGACGCACCTGTCATGAGCTTGTAATGTACACACGTTGGACAGTTTCAGTCATGTGTGTAGACCATCTGGACGCACCTGTCATGAGCTTGTAATCTACAGATGTTGGACAGTTTCAGTCATGTGTGTGGACCGTCTGGACGCACCTGTCATGAGCTTGTAATCTACAGAGGTTGGACAGTTTCAGTCATGTGTGTGGACCATCTAGATGCACCTGTCATGAGCTTGTAATCTACAGATGTTGGACAGTTTCAGTCATGTGTGTGGACCATCTAGATGCACCTGTCATGAGCTTGTAATCTACACATGTTGGACAGTTTCAGTCATGTGTGCGGACCATCTGGATGCACCTGTCATGAGCTTGTAATCTACAGATGTTGGACAGTTTCAGTCATGTGTGTGGACCATCTGGATGCACCTGTCATGAGCTTAAATCTACAGATGTTGGACAGTTTCAGTCATGTGTGCGGACCATCTGGATGCACCTGTCATGAGCTTGTAATCTACAGATGTTGGACAGTTTCAGTCATGTGTGTGGACCATCTGGATGCACCTGTCATGAGCTTGTAATCTACAGATGTTGGACAGTTTCAGTCATGTGTGTGGACCATCTGGATGCACCTGTCATGAGCTTGTAATCTACAGATGTTGGACAGTTTCAGTCATGTGTGTGGACCATCTGGACGCACCTGTCATGAGCTTGTAATCTACAGATGTTGGACAGTTTCAATCCAACACACACAGGACCTACTGCTGGTCTTCACTTTGTTTGCAATTCTAAGTTGCAGATTTACAGCAGTTGACTGCAGCTGACATACAGCTTACCTGCTGGTAATAACTGACAACTGACCTTCAGCTTATATAGTCTACAATTGATCTACAGACAATCAACAGGGAATCTACAGGTGATAGCTCATCATTACACAATGCCATTTAGAAAGTGGTCATATGTAACATATGTTATATTTGGGATTACACTTTCTTAGTGAAGTACAGATTCTAGTACTTTTGTTGGGTTGAGTCCCATCCGGGATTCGAACCCACACCCTCTCAGTCAGGCACCTAATCGCCAGCACACAAAGTCAGCCGCCTAACCTTCTCAGCCACCGCGACTTCCACAAAAAATGGAAATCTGATAACTGGTAGTATAGACTTCGGACTTTGTGTACCCCTCTAATAAATGTAAATTGGCACGGCTCCCACGGCCGAGAGCTATGATTACACTATGCCATTTAGAAACTGGCCAAATGTCACATATGTTAACATATGTGACATTCACATGGAACTACGGAACAGCTGATCTGACATACATGGTCTGCATGTAAAGTAAGGAATACCCACGTGTAGCGACATTATCCTCGACACCGCCTCCAGAACGTCCTGGAAATCATGAAACATAAGCTTCGTGTCAGGAGTGAGGTAACATAGGGTTAAACGTCTACAGAGATATGATTGCACACCGATATACCATATAGGACAGTTTGAAATGGATAGCCCACTCAGAGACAATATACCGACTCCGAAACGTTCGTACAAATGCAGTGGCATCGCGACCTGCACGCACACGTGCGTGCGTGTGTGCCTTACAAATTCATCGTGTAAATCAGAACCTAGAATCCGTCTCACATCAATCTCAACCAACAACTTCAACTGACCATTGTGAGATTTCCTGCATAGACGTCCCCGTCCAGATCTGTGACGTTGACCTCTGTTTCAAGGACGGTCAACAGCAATGCTTCCGCCGCTTCAAGGTCAAGGCCGGAATCATCTTCATTTTTCTTGCCCTTCCGATGAGGCGTCCTCTGGCGTAGAAAGGCGTTGACGTCTGCCATAGCACCTGACGCCGTGTACGGGTGTTTTCTCTGGAGAAGATATCGGTTTCAAGATACCTTTAGACGTTGCCAATACTTGGGTTGATTGTGAAAACGGTTGTGTATGAGTGAAATGTATATTACATTGAAGTATATCCAAATAACAATAGCCTTAGAAATACGTGTTCGCTGTGACAGGTATCGAAATATGACCTTTAATATTACCATACAAAACGACAAAAGAATTTATTGAGACATGTCAATCAGAAACATACTGATTGACTCATAGGATATATAAATCCATTTTATAAAGATAAACGGGTATCTTTCGTCAAGGTAGTAGGCCTAGGCATCGCTATACTGTTGTCCGCGGTTTTCTCTAGTAAAGGTGTAAGACCCGACTCACCTCCCACTCCCATGTGAGTACTGCCTGTCTCACTGAATGTTGTTTTACGGCGCAGTCAGTACTACTATAGCTATAGTATGACCAGAAATTATTGAGAATTTTAGGAATATGTTTAATTGGATTTCTAGCATAAACAACCTTGACCAGCTATCAAGTGCTTGGTTTCATTCAAGAGAGACAACTCCGTTAATTCTTTTCATTAGTTTGTGAAGAGTTATCCTTTGTTTTTCAGACGACATTTTCAGTGAAGAGTTACCCCCTTTGTTCAGTCTTGTTTTATAACAAGGACATCAGATCAGCTAAAGTGATTTCAAGTAGAACAGGCATCCCTTTGTCCACTGTTTATCGTGTTTTGAAAAATATTGCAAATTGATATGGCATTGAGCACCAGGGAGGCGCAGGTAGGCCCAGAAAATTGACTGTCGGTGACAGGAGGCGGTTTGGTATTCTTGTTTCTAAAAACAAACGAAGGAGTTTAGAAAACTTAAGGCTGGATATGATTGATAGAGGAACTGTGGCTGTCTGTAAGGAGACAATTAGAACTGAGCTGCATGCAATGGTTCGCAGAAAAGTCGAGGAATTCCATCACCGATCATGACACCTGAACAGAAGGAGCGAAGGTTGAACTGGTGCTTACAGCATAGAAATTTTAACTGGGACAATGTAATTTTCTCAGATGAAAGTTCTGTGTGGCTGTTTCCTAATACACTGAAATTCTGGACCAAACAAACTGAAAACCTTTGTATCAGCGCCCAAAGTACAGTCCCAAATTTAACGTGTGGGGTGGCATATCTGTGTTAGGGGCAACGCCCCTCTGTGTATTTGAAGGGAATATGAACAGTGAGCGGTACACAGATATTCTCGAGGGACATTTACTTCCATCTGCTCACGTGTTCTGTGGAAATGTTTGGACTTTCCAGCAGGACAACGACCCAAAACATCGTTCAAAGCATTCACAGGCTTGGTTTCGGACGCAAAATATGACATTATTAGATTGGCCAAGCTATAGCCCTGACCTAAATCCAACAGAAAATGTTTGGGGACTTATGAAGGAAAGTGTCAATAAGAACATTCTGACAAATATTGCTGAAATGAAAGAAGAGGTGGTCCGATATTGGGACAGCATGGACCACGACTTTCTAACTTCTTTGATCAATAGTATAGCCCGCCGCATTGAAGCCTGCATTGCTGCCCATGGTGACTTGACAAAATACTAACTGTTCACCTGTCTTTGAACTGGAGTTATGTTTAAAAAATATAAAAAATTACAATCTTTAAATTCTCAATAATTTCTGGTTGTACTGTATATCACATTACAGTTGGTTCGGGCGGTGGGGTAGCCTAGTGGTTAAAGCGTCCGCTCGTAACGCCGAAGACACGGGTTTCGAATCCCCACATGGGCACAATGTGTGAAGCCCATTTCTGGTGTTCCCCGCCGTGATATTGCTGGAATATTGCTAAATTCGGCGTAAAACCAAACTCACTCACTCACACCGTACTTATCACCTTTTTCATATTCTCTCCGTCTTTTTCTATGTTTTTCTTCTCTGGACCCGAATACCTCTTCCTCTGTCTACTGCAACCTTCAAGTAAATTGGAGTGCAAGTTTATAAATTTGACTGTACAATACATTTAACATAATCTTCAATTGACTGATCACCAAGCAAATATCTTTGTCTTAATTTTTCCACAAGCTAAATAGAGTATGCCACGCCCACTTACGGACTACTGCTTCCTGGGTTTGTGTTGCGCTGTTGCGCTGAACAGGTTCAGGTTCATATAAACTGAGGGGGCGGTGAGGTAGCCCAGTGGTCAAAGCTTATCGCTCGTCACGCTGGCCGTTCGGGTTCGATTCCCCACATGGGTACAACGTGTGAAGCTCATTTCTGGTGTCTCCTGCCGTGATATTGCTGGAATATCGCTAAAAGCGGCGTAAAACCAAACTCACTCAGTCAGTCATAGTAACAAAATTCAGTACACGCCTGGTGCTTTGGGTCCTTATTTTTCCCAAAAAACGTAACTATTTTGAAGAGCGTTTTGATTGTGACTTTCAACTCCCAAACATTGTGTGCATTTTTGCCTAAACACCACAGATATCCTTTACTGTTAGAGGGGCGCTGGGGTGCTTGTCAGGATGAAGAAACAATGATCCCGGTCTTATTTGATTATCACGGCGAGGGACACAATAATGAGCTTCACACATTGTACCCATTTCGGGAATCGAACCCGGGTCTTCGGTGTGACAAGCGAACGCTACCCCACCGCCCCAAATTGCCCCACTAGGCTTCCCTACCGTCCCTTACTACGCAGTGAAGTTACTATTGTAGATGTATATGTAAAAGATTGGACTCATATGTGTGTTTCAGTCATCATCCTCCGCACGTTTATAGCAGAATGAAAACAAAACATTTTCTAAATGAAAATATGAATAATTACTTCGTAAGTCTTCCTGCCCCTTGCAACAATTGCAAGGCTTGTTTACGACGCCATTACGATCCGAGGGGGGCATGCCCTTGACATTTTTGGTGACGTTAGTCATGGGAGGCGTGACGGCTGAAGAGCTCAAATTACTGGCTGGAGGACTCGTGGTTCTACCGACGACACTGTCGCTATCTTTGTTACCTGCAAGGAAGGGAACATCTTTTTATTGTGTTTGATAACTTTTGAGAGAGTTGACCGGCTTCGGAGTTTTGTTGGCAGAACGTCAACCCGGAAAGGGGGTTCACATGCGTGACTGTGTGATACCAAGGACGTTATAAGATGATACTTTATGTTACCCTGCCTGGCAATGTTAAAGAGACTGGTTAGCTCAGAGTCTGTGTAGGGTATCCATGCTAAACTGCCACATCGGTATCCCAGTCCCTTAACACCGTAGCCATACGCACGCATGCGCATACCAGTGGTTCAGTGTATGTACAATGGTCCGTCTCTTATTCCCAATGTTGCTCGGCGCCAGGCGGGCCAACATCAAGTACACCTTTTAACGACTTTAGAAGTCAAGCAAACGAATATTCTGTCTCTAACAAACATCTGAAGTCAGAGTGAGTTTATGTTTACGCCGCACTAATCAATAGTCAAGCTATATGGCGACGCTCTGTAAATATTCGAGTCTGGACAAAACAATCCAGTGATTAATAGCATGAGCATCGATCTACGCAATTGGGATACGATGACATGTGTCAACCAAATAAGCAAGTCTCACCACCCGATCCCGTTAGTCGCCTCTTACGACAAGATGGGTTACTGAAGATCAATGCTAACCCGGATCTTCACGGGTCTAGATTACGATGTTGTGGTCCCTCTGCTAGCCCCGGGAGACTATCCACTAGAGCAGGGAGGTGATCTCTGGACTTAAATACGGAGAATTTACGACCTGAAACAGAACACCTTAATGCCACTGCAATATAGAACTATTGACTATAACGAAAGAAAACGGTCACATTGGATGCTTGTTAAAGACAGAAGATAATTCCGATCACTACTTCAAGACATTTTGTTCCTCTGAAAACTCAAAAAAAAATGAGTTACCCATAAATTAATTAATTATTTTTTTGTTAGAAAGAAACGATTTCAGATTTCAGTATTAAGCATTACTACTGAACTTTCCAACAAACGGAGCACCTCAATGCTATGCTATTTAACAAACCTACCCACAATGCATCCCATCAGAAGAAACCGGAAGCAGCAGTTGCTGTTGGCGGGGGTGTTTATCTGAAAGACGCTGTTCTCCAGGGCCGGATATGAATGGTTGTTGAATGACTTGGTGCCATTCACTCTCTGAGGACAAGATAAATATGGCAGTTTAGGTACACGGTGGCATGGAACTGTATACACCATCGAGACGAGTTAAGCACAACATTATTTTTGTTATTCAACATTTCCACCTTGATATGCTCAACCATTACAGGTTACCACAGCAACCACCAATCAGGGTATGGACATATGGTAAAATCCAGAACCGGACGTGGATCAGAAGCAGTACCGCTGACCTATGAGACAACTCGTCAACGTATATCATATACCCTACTGCTCCTTTTTTTTCCTGAAACTGTAAGTTTCTTGCGTTTGTTTGTTGTTAAACAACAGCAATATTCCAATTGTTTGATGGGCATTCTAGAAGTTGGTGACTCAAAAATGAAACATACAACTTTATGGATGACAACTTCTTGTTCATTGCATAAGCGACGTTTCGATGTAGATTGTTACATCGATATCAAGCTAAAAGTGAATACAATCAGATGTAGAGGGGAATATATACACAATATGTTTTAACAACAGCAGATCAATTACATGTTGTTGTTAATGTTTATCCCATTTCATGTAGCTGGAATATTGCTATATGTCTGTGGGATATGATGACATATGTCAACCAAGTCAGCGAGCCTGACCACACGATCCTGTTAGTCGCCAAGTTTCTTGCGGATCACACACAGGCATTCTCACAGGAAACAATATAAATTTTGAAGTCTTTTCATTATACACCAAAGCACATATTTAGTTTATCTATGATTTTGTGAATGACGTCTTATTGTTTCGCTGATATTTCCTGCGCCGTCATAATGCAACTCCATGACAATTGTGACGTCACAAATGGCGAAATCCCGATTGTTGTAACGAAATGACGAACATTCGTGAACATTCACATATTCTCGAAGATGCAATATGATATGTTTGTAGCACCCAAGCTAATACATAGTCTGTAAAAATATAAGGTATTTTAAACAATAAGCAGTTAATACTTCCTTACTATACATGTGTTATGTTCTTTCAGCCTGAGTAATCTTTCTGTCTCTTCCAATCAAGTTCAGGAAAAAGATCGGTTTCAAATTTAGGGTCTGATTTCTGGGGCAGAATGTATTAAGTCAGTTAGCCGGTGTAAGTCAGTGTAGCCTGGGCCCAATAAACATTGATTGATTGATAAAAAATCAGTTAGAAAATGTCGTCATTGCTGGTAAATACATGAACCCTGTTTCTTCTTTGAGGTGTTTGACGAAGCAGGAGAGTACCCTACCCTGCCTCTATGTATACATTATTAGGAATATACAATCCAAAAAAAGAAACGCATAGGTGAGATTTGATATATGAAATTTTAAATATTTTGCCAAATTAGTGGTTGATTGTTATACTTTTGTAATGCTGGTCTGTGTAAATGAAACGAATGCACAGCGCCGAAACGCATCTTCGGAAACGTTAATGCAGGTATATATATGTTTAAGTGTCGACTTGCATGAAAATGTCATAGATGAAAAATCGCCCGCCTCAACCCCACGGAACATTTGTGTGATGACCTCGGCCGACACGTACGTGAACCGGCACCCCAGATGTTAGATCAGCTGTCGCAGGCATTGCAAGAGGAATGGGTAAGAATTCCAAAAGGCCGAAATCAAAAACTTAATCAGTTCATGCCGAGACGGTGCAGAGCAGTTTTGGGGGGCTCAAGGTGACCACAACAGATATTGAAGTCTGGGAAAAGACGCCTTCACGTATTGAACCATTTATAAGCTATACATGTTAACACACATTTGATCTTTTATACTGTGAATTTTGGCTACAACTGATGCAGAATTAACATGTGTCACATCAGTTTAAAGTTAGCAGAATTTCGTGAAAACACCATGTGCGTTTCTTTTTTGGGAGAGTATACATGTACTCCACGTGACCAAAATAGTGACCACCCATTGCCAATGCTGTGACATGTTGCAGAAAATGCAAATAATTGTTAACAGTTTATATGCCAGTCGGCAAGTGATAAACCTTGCATTTCTCCCGAGTGTATAAACAGTCACACGCACACGTGCATGCACGTAGGCCTGTTACATCTCATTGCTGACTAAAGAACTTACGTCTAGTTGGATGGTACTTGTCCCATTGACTCCCAGCCATAATCTGTCTGCACGGCAGGAGCCCCCATTACGGTCTTCACCTGAAGTGAGTGAGTGAGTGGATTGGTGAGTGAGTGAGTAGGTGAGCAGGTGAGTGAGTAGGTGAGCAGGTGAGTGAGTGAGTGAGTAGGTGAGTGATGGAGTAGGTGAGTTAGTGAGTGAGTGAGTAGGTGAGTGAGTGAGAGTGAGTGAGTGAGTGAGTAGGTGAGTGAGTGAGTGAGTAGGTGAGTGAGTGAGTGAGTAGTAAGTAAAACAGCCCATAGGGAAGAATTACGTTGAAATACATTGTCAGCCAAAACAGTTTTATGCTTCATTACTGACTCATGAACTTCTAGAACACCGATGAAAGAATGACAACTGTGATAACAGTATGAAGAACATCACCTACAAATAACCATTTTTATCAGAATTGGTTCAACCATTATCTGACATTGCTTAATACTTTATTTTACCCGTGCGGTTCAAATTGACTAATGAACAGCTGCGTCAGCAGTTTTTTATCTGATTTCTGTGGAACATGATTTTAATGTGCTTTCAAGTATTTCAGCCTTTTGGGTTGATTTGCATTGGTTCGTGATGCTGATTTTAAATTATTTCTACAAATCTCCAGCGTTGTTGTGTAAAATAAACCAGGAAAAGATTTATGTAATTTCTTATGTTATTAGTCTCGGAGAGCCAACCAAAAATAAGGAACATCTGTACTCGTGTACAGTGTTGTATATTCCTCGATAAACCACTTTCTCACCATGTATCTCTATATACCCTAGTTTTACGGTGTATTGAAGGACCATGTGTAGACATGGGCTTGCGTCGGTGTCATCCGGGCACCAGGTGCCATGGTTTCCTCCATATCCTGTCTTCACTGAAACTGTACCGGAACTAGAAGAGAACACTGCCCTTGATGTGTCGATTGGGTGTGCGCACGTCGCTGAAACGCAAATAGATAAAAATATTCTCATTATCAGAATGACATTTATCAGAACGGATTGCACAAAAATTCTTATGCTATATGTTGACAGAGACCACATGACTGCAACATCCTCGCGGTTGATAATACATATATCTCACCTCCAGCAGTAGACGACAACACCATACAGCCGAGATACACCAACACAGACCACATGACTGCTATATCCTGGTGGTGGAAAATACATATATCTCCCCTCCAGCAGACGGCCACACCATACAGCCGAGATATACCAAAACAGACCACATGACTGCTACATCTTGGCGGTTGATAATACATATATCTCACTTCTAGCACACGGCCACACCATACAGCTGAGATACACCAACACAGACCACATGACTGCTACATCACGGCGGTTGATAATACATATATCTCACTTTTAGCAGACGGCAGCACCATAAAGCCGAGATACACAAACACGGAACCACATGACTGCTACATCCTGGCGCTTGATAATACATATATCTCACCTCTAGCACACGGTCACATCATACAGCCGAGATACACCAACACAGACAAAATGGCTACTACATCCTGCTGGTTGATAATACATATATCTCACCTCCAGCAGACGGCCACACCATACAGCCGAGAAACACCAACACAGACCAAATGACTGCTACATCCCGACGGTTGATAATACATATGACTCTCCTCCAGG